ACGACGATGTTTTTAAACTGCGAAGTTCTTGAACCTCTTTATTTTCGACTACGATATTTTGTACCACGATGTTTTAGAACTGCGATATTTTCTCTTTGCTTTCTTTTCCTCCTACTTTATTTTGTGCCACGATGTTTTCGCCTTGCGTTATTTTCTCCGCGACATTTTTCTCCGTGATGTTTTCGGCGAATACCGTATAGATGAGTATTATTTGTTTTATCAAAGGGCTGCTTCAACTTTTTGAAGAGATTCGAATAAGACAAACCAATAATTAATGAAAAATTAACAGTAAAAGACGACTAAAAGTCAATTGAAAACAGTCACGAATCAATATCCATCGTTTAATGTTATTAAAATAGTCCTTGACAAACGTGATCACATTAAACGACGCCTACAGTAAATTCATTTGAAACGATAATTTTACAGAAGCTATTTACGTATTTCTGAATAGGTATGAGCTATTAAAAATGAAAGTAATGGTTTAATTATCGTTTGCAAATAATTATTCGGCAATAAATTATGCTTTTGTTATCTAACTATCATCTCATGCAGTTAAATATAACTTGCTTCATATCGGAAAGATTAGTAACAGAACAGGTTCAACCAAAGTTATATTTTTGCTGTTTCTAAACGGAAGTATTCTACAATGAAGACAACTTTGTAAATATATTAGAAATGATGTTTTTATATGTGGGGGAAAATAAAATGGTATTTTTACTAAAGATAAAAACTGGCAGCAAAGTGCACTTAGATGTATTTGGCATTGTAGTTAAAGATGTCATTCTAGTGACAAATACTTGTCTCTCCTTTTTTCTTCATGCAAAGATACATTTTCAGTTTCGAAGAAAGGGGTTCATTCATTTAGTTGCACGTAAGAATCACTTGACTCGTTCTAGATTTATTATGACATATTGCCATAGTGACCTCCTTTTATATCACATTTCAAAGAAACGATGCGTCGCCAACAATTAAGTGGCCAGCTGCTGAACTGGTACGCATTCATTATCGTACTGCAGTTATTAACTGGCAGACTTTCATAGTCTCGTACCGAATATTTTGTCAGCATTCCTCTTGAAACAGGTTTATACAGTTATGAAATTCTTCCACAGGTTTGCTGACGGCCATTTTTGCAATTACATTCATATGCCTTTTCCTTTTCAACATGCAGTGCATTTCAATTTTTCTTTTCACATTTCGGAGTCGGAGTTTGAACCAGGTGCGGACGGCGGTGATCTGACATGCACGGCCAACTTACATAAGTGTGCCGGCACCCTTATGTAAGTTGATCATTCTTTGCCAAGATATAAGAATAACTCAGCATTAGGAGATAAAGATGCCTGGCACCTTTGTTTGTTGTTGATGTCGGTATATAACCACGAATTAGGCAGCCTTCATCAAGATTCCGAGGCATTTCTTTCAAGATCTAAGTGAGTAGTCTTCGACTTTAATAAAAATGGCGGCACCGTTTACAAGTTAGTAATTTTTCACTAAGGAGATAGGGGGTACCAGCACCCTTATGAAGTTCAGTTGACACCAGAAAGACTCCGCTATTCATCGATATGTTGGGATGCGCATGGTTGGGTCTTTATTTTAATGAAAAATCACTGACGTGCATAAGGATGGCTGCTTCCTTATGAAGTTCAATTTAGAACTTGGAGATAGCAATTTCCATTAAAGTCCCATACCTTTATGATGGTTTCTGTCTTGGTGAAATCTTCATTATAAAGGTACCAGTAACTTTACACATATGGACCGCTGTTTGAGGAAGATGCAGATGCATATAGATTGTAGAGACATCAGGTATTTTTTGAAAGCAGGAGAGATGAAAAATATGCAATGCCCTTGCCGGGACTCTCGGACCACGGACCTCTCGAATAAGCGCCGAGCGTGTTGACCACTACACCACGAAGGTATACTAAGAAGGCGGAGGAAATACCTTATATACTCTCCTTTTTAAAAGGCGACTGAGGATTAGGGGACCCAATCGCCGAATTCTGGTGGTGGAGAATTATCATCGACCACCTTTTTTTAGTTCAGGTGCAACTGTAGAGACATTAGGATTTTTTCTTCGAAGTATTAGACATTAAAAATGAGCAATGCCCTCGCCGGGACTCGAACCACGAACCTCTCGAATACTCGCCGAGCGTGTCACCCACTACACCACGAAAGCACGGGACCATGGACCATTATGAAGTTCAGTATATACTGATTTCGGCGATTTGCCGCCAGCCGTATGGTGGCTTCTCTCTTAGTGAACAATCGCGACATTGCATTAAGGTGTCGGCATTTTAGTGGCAAGCCGTCGGCACCTCAGGAAACTTTCCGAATTCTCGACGGCTTCATCTGCCTTTACTGAACTGCTGTTTGAATATACTGAACTTCGTGCGAGAGTCATATTTGTGTCTTAATTCTGAGGGATCCTTGTACCTTGGCGAACAATAGTCAACTTGCAGGAAAGTGCTAGCATGCTCATGCAAACTGTGGCCCCAATAACAGCCCCAATAACCCCTGCTTGCAGTGATTGTGTATGAAGGTTAAGAAATAAGAATTTTGCTTTTTTTCAGTTTTCAATTTTGTTCGTACGTAGTCCTAAAACTTTGTAGATTCAGTGTATATTAAGTTGAATTTGTCAAATATATTAAGTTGAAAACATATAAGATTAATACCAGGAACAAAATTCGGAAAGTACTTTTTGATCTTCGTAAATGTAAGATTAATCTTTCTATGAGAAAATAAATACATTAATTTAAAGCGCTCAAACATTAAATTAGTGCTGGTTGACGGAGATAAGTTCTCGAAAAATATTCATTTTAATGTCTCTAAATTGATCTTTAATTTGAAGAAATAAAAGTTTCGTTAACGTTAACATTACCGAGTTAACTTTAATCTGAAGAAATAAAAGCTTAAAAAGCATTACTCTTTGCACAGCTGGAAAAAATTCGTTTATGAAAATAAAAATTCTGAAGTTATTCTTATCTTTGTTCACGTGAGATTAACGTTCGTTAACTCCATTTCATGTCGCAATCAGAAAAGAATCCTTAAAATATCAGATGTTTCACTTAAATATCACATTGTTCTATAAAACATAAGAAATCTGTGTCTAAATTTTATGAGTCATTTTTTTTGGGAGGGGGGAAGGGAAGAGGTTCTTCTTTTTTATTCCTTCGAAATAAATGGTTGTTTCAAGCCTTCAAGCAACGGCTTTAACAATTGGAATTGAACACATTTAAATAACACAGCATCGCAATTCACGTGTCTTTAAAAAAAGCAAATAATTATATCTTAGTTCAAAAGCTTATCAAGACGGAAGAGTAATATTTTTGACGTCACATTTCTTTTCGTTTTCTCAAATAAAAAGTAGATGGGAAGATGCCAATGTCAATGCCATTATCGGAATTTTTCTTGGCACGAAACCCCCAGAGGCCATTAACTTTAATTGACGGAATGCAAATCCTTTTTGGTGCTGCCATCTACCGATAATTATTGTAACTATAGTTTATATTTCTGATAGTTAAATCTAAACTGACCTCTTTCGGTGTTTTATGGAAGTGGTCACCTCAGAGAGACAGCGTTGGAGAGATAACACTTGCTATGCGTTTCAGCTAAATTAGCAGTGTCAATTACGATACAAACAAGGTGTTATGTTTGTTCTGTAAGGTGAATTATCACCACCAGAATAGCTAACCATTAAACAAACAGACACAGAATTAACCCCTTTTATTCTACCTCATCACTTGTGAGAACGTGAATTAAAATATGCAAACAAAAATTTATCAGCTGACTTGTATCTGGTTTTAAAATTCAAAACTTCCTTTCACAATGGTTATAAATGCAACAATTTAAATCTAATTCGACTAGAAACTACAACATTTCCTAGATTGCGACAGAATTTCGGACGAACTTAGCAGAGTCTAACCTCATCTAAAATATACCCTGCAAGATCTGCATTAGCGTCGCCAACAGTCTGTTTTCTTCAGTCGACAGGGTAACGAAATTCAAGCTAAACTCTCACACTCCTATTCGTAAATCTCCTACAAAGTAAAACTACTTGTCACTCAAATCTATATTAATTCTGGAATGAACAAACGTCGTCGCGAAAAGAGGCAGGGGATGTTTCCATAACCGGCACTTGGCAAAATTGCGGATTTGTTTACATCGGAAGTGAGCGTACGTGCGCCAGAATATGGTAACCCTGATAATTGTTGCAACCCACACAGGGAATTTTCCTGAAGGAGGAAAAGGGAAATTTTCTGTTTACTTTTCGAACATTACGGTAAGAGAAAATAAAGTTTGAAAGTCGCAAATCATTATTAGTTCATATTTTCGCAAAACGTTTATGGGGTTTATTTTTCGAACATTACGGTAAAAGAAAATAAAGTTTTTTATATTTTCGCAACGAACATTACGGATTATTACGGTAAAAGAAAATAAAGTTTTTTATATTTTCGCAAAACGTTTATGGGGTTTGGGGAGTTAAAAAATGCAGCAAATTATTATTATTAACATAACAAAATGTTCCTTTTTTAGGTATTATATATGTTATAAATATTGCTATTGCCATGAAGACAAACTGGGCAAAGTTAAAATGATACCAACAACAACAGCATTTAATTTATTATAGCTTTTTTCTTACTTTTACTAGAATTCTAATGATAAAATGATTAGTGCATTTAAATACATATTAAATGAAAATATTAAAATAGATATGGAGATGCATTAAATATGATTTGGACTAATTTAATTATGTATTCTTACATATATAGCTATGCACATTTAATTTTTCTCAATAAAAATAATTAAGCTATCCTTATTATTTTTATATGTCTATACATTTTTTAACTCTGCACATAGCTACTCAGAAAGAAAGATATATGGGTAGGATATAAGAAGATAAAAATTATTAATCTTCCCTTCAAAGTCAAATGGATATAGCTGTAGTATATGATTTCAAAAAAAGTAAATCATTAGAATATTAAGCTGAAAATATAAGTCTGAAGAAAGAGATTTTTCTTAAATTCAAACTGTGCACAAAACATTTCAGATGCATTCAAACTCTGAACTGGAACATGTTAATTTACTGTTGTGGAACTAATATGAAAACAATATTGTTGACAGTATAGTAGTGTACCACCAAAGAATTTATGCTGGGAGAAGAAGCAAAGCTTCGATGACACCACAAAGCCAAATGATAACTGGCTTAATTTTTACTCTTTTTATGCATAAAATGTCATAGTTGTTAGTATCTCATTAAAATGTATTTTCTAATAATATAATGATTTGCAAATGATGGAAATTTACTTGTCATTAAAACATTTTGTTCTAAACATGCTTCAGCTTATCAAAGAAGTTAAAGCTATTCCAACCTATCCCCCATATTAAAGTTTTTTTTGATTAAATCAGGTTCATGTCTAATGCATCAAAAATATAAATAAACTTTCTTTAGTATTTGTCAAACATCAGTTCTCATGGCCTTAAATTGGATGCAAGATTTATTTCACAAAGTTATGTTTTCACTTATGGGGCAAAACTTTTAAATTTGTTATTTGAATCTGTTACATTAGTCTTTATTTTAAAGAATATATTGTATGTCATATGGCCATGAAGGCAACCTGGTTAAAGTAGAAATGAAATCAAACTTTCTAATTAATGTGATTTGAAGCCATTGTGTTATACTTCGAGGAATATGTTATATGGTAAATATGTGTGCTCATGTTTTTCCTGGAAAGGGCATAACATTTTTTTTACAGAAATAAGTTACCAACCTAAATCTATTGTCATGGCAATTAAATTTTTCTGAAAGAGCAGGATTATTTATAAGCCAAGTGCTAAACCTTTGTATTGTTACCCTGATCATGAAATTTTAAATGGTGATTTAATTTCTTTTTTCAGGTTGAACTGCCCTTCAATGAAAGCTTTTGCTCGATGTGTGGCCTGTAATAGCAATAAATGGGACTTTTGTGAACTGAAATCTGTTAGGCTTTCCAAAATCCAGAAAGGTAAAGTTTAACTTTTTATTTAAGCCTAATGTTCTTAAAATATATTAGAATATCCATAGGTGACATTTGATTATTGTTTAATAAAGACACCATAACAAAATAAGCTGATTGAATCACCAAATTTGTAACTTGTAACTTTTAAATATATCCAGACTGTCTGCTTTAATAAGGAAGTAACATACAGTGCATATATAGTAGTGTTTTGATTTTCATTTATCATTTTATTCTGTTTTAAGTATGAGTTCAGCAATGCTCCAACATAAGGTATTCCAATTTATATGAGCTTTAAGTCGTACAGCTCCTTATTTTATTTTGCATATTTATACTTGTTGTTTTGAAATTGTCAATAATTCATAAAATGCTGATGAACAAAACATTACTATGCCTATATATAAGAATTAGCTTTAATGAAATAAGAAGCATCAAAGTATATGCTAATTGCCATAAAACTCCATACCCTTCTTCAAAACAGTACTTCAGTTATAACTGTGTTAACAGACGATGCAGTTGTTCAACATTTTTATACACTGTGCTGTTACTTTCATACTTTGGTTCAGGAAAGTAAATGGGATTTGATATTCTATATTTCTTCTTTTTTCCCCACATTATAATTATGAATCGAGTTATCAGAAAAGAATAATTAATTTTATGAAACCATTAGCATCAGAATAACTCCATTTCTTGCACATGTACTTTTTGTTTCCAATGGTGGATGCTTGCCTATGCCGGCATTGGCCACTCCTAAAATCAGATATGGTGATCTATTATGGAGGCACCTAATAGGCAGGCCACCTTTGCCTCCTATGAAGGGACAGATAATTTACATCCATGCCTTGTTCGTTATTCGAACCCGGGTCCCTCAGTATTGTACTCAGGCTTCCCTAATCACTATACCATCCGGGCAGCTACGACTTTATTTTAATATGCTATTTTGTATTGATATGTAATATGAAAAATACATTTTTATTATGTATTTTTTAAAACAAGTGCTTTTTAGTCATTGGTTCTATTTAACTAGAATTCACATGTATTGTTTTATATGCAAAATAAATACGACCCAGACTGATTGGAATCTGACTTCAGAGCTTTCGCTCGTCGCATCTGTCACATAGCTTCAGAGCTATAACTGTGTTATATTTAATTTTTAGTACTTAAATATTAATTTGTTAAAGTTAAAAAGTAATAAAGCTGAAGAATGTCAATGTGATATATATATTTCTTAACAATAATGTGCAGTAGTCCCTCTTTAAAAATGGTTTTGATTATCTGCAGACAATAAAAATTGAGAAAGTTATGAAAATTAGATTATTTTGTTGAATTCAAATTGGCCAAATGATAAAGATATACAGTCAAAAGTCGTTAATTCGGACACCCATAATCCGGAATGATCTATAATCCGGACCTCAAAGCTACAAACTTTCTGCGCATGCGTTGCGTTCACGCATGCGCACAGGCGTTTAAGAGTGCGCGTAAGACCTTTACGGCTGCGAATATGTTTGTGCACATGCGCGTTTAATGCGTAACGGAGGTATAAGCTAAGCTAAAATTATCTGATTCAGTTAATGTTGCACATTGCGTTGCTCCTTAATCTTTGAATTGGATCCTGCTTATTATTTTTTGCAGACTTTTAGAACAATTTCATAAAAGTAAGCTTGAACTTTCGATTATGTCAAATAGAATTTCCGATATATATTTACTAATATGTAATTTATATCTACAAAGCGAAAGTATGTTCTGAAATTCGAAATCTGTTTATCAATTTCACGCCGCGGATTGGAAGTTGATCTGTCAGCACTATCCTTATCTTCAGGGCAGATGTTTTTATTTTATTTGGCTTATAATTCCTTACTAAGTATAGTATTTCATGTCTATGTACTCCGTCTTTGATATGATTTAAATCAAGTTCCTCGTCATTATAATTCGCTTTCGATAGTGAAGAAAGTGACCCAGAGGTTATTGAAAACGAAAACATTTCCATTGACAAATTAGTCGGTATTCTCAACACAGCAATTATAGGACTTGAACAGCGGAACTTTGTAACTAAACGAGAAATTATGTCTGTTTAATAGAATTAAAGAGAAAGTGTTATCACATGAAACGAAGCAACTTACATTGAAATAAATGTTTAATAAAGTAAACAAATAAATATTAAGCTTTTTCTTTTTGTAAATTTTGATACCCTTTAGATCATAATTGTTCTTTATTTCATAAATTATGGTTTCATATTTTTAATTTTGTAATTTCTGCATGCCATCTTACCAGATTTAAACTGATGATCTATAATCCGGAAAAATCGATAATCCGGAATCGCCGAAGTCCCGACGAGTCCGGATTAACGACTTTTGACTGTACTTGCATATAAATCACTTCTGCATATGATTGAAGCTTTACAATATGTGCTTGTTAACTTCAGTTGTCTATAGTATTATTATTATGACAGTTTAACACTTGATATTTGCAGCACATTACCTCAGATTAGAACTATAGGATAAAATGTAGTTGAAAACTTTGGGAGGTTATAAATGAAATAAACGCAGAAGAAATTAACTCAAGCCATTACTATTGTGAATGAATAACAGAGCAGTTAGAAAATTTATTATAATTCAGAATTAATGTTTAGTACTGGCAAAGAGAAAGTGAATAGTGTATTAAGTTAGATAGTTTTCACAATAGAAATATTAACTTAAATAAAAAGAACAAAACTATAAATTTTCCCTCATTAATTATTAATATTTTTATTATGTTTCATTATTAAACATGTTTATTACTTGTGTATCCTGCCAAATAGACTGGCTGCATGGAAGTTTTCATAATTTTCTCTATGTGTGACATGAATTTATGCATCCAAAATGCTAACCTTTGTATGCAACACTCACTCATTTCTAATGCTTTAAAGTCCCAATACTCGTTTAATTTAGCATTTGCAGTATCAGCGTTGTTACACTATGAGTATTACTAATATTTTAATTCAGTGCTGCTTTCTAATTACTTTCACATTTATTTTATTCAATAAATAAATTAACTAAAATATAAAATTTATTGTGAATCGATTTTGTAATTATTTATGTTTATAATTTTTATCCCTTCCAGCTGATTAGGTGTGCAGAAGCAGCAGACTTGTAAATGTGAAGGAGCTATTTGCTTAGTTATGCAGTAGAATTCACCACCCTGCGGCAAGCTTCATTAAAGCTGTGAACAGCCAAGCTAACCATCTTCAGGGCAAGTAGCTGCATCAAGCAAACCCAGTGACATTCCAAAGAGGAATGTCAGTCAAAATAAAAACTTAATACCTAAATCTCGGAAAATCAGACAATTAAGCCACAAATCTTGTGACCAATTTTTCAGTTGCTGTGCTTAGTGCGATAAAGTTATATGGCAATAAACTGAAAAGCTATGGCAGGTATTCTATTGTACCCTTTAATGAAATCAATTTAAAGCAAGCTTATCATATGATAAGCAAAATGATTGTATCATTGGATGGTAATGATTGCATTGCTGGGTATGCAGGCTATGGTTCTACAATGAGCCAAATGTAATATCTCAGTATGCTGTGACTATTAAAATTATAAATTATGTATTATTACTTCATATTGGTCATTATGTTCCAAAATAAATGCTCTTTTTATATAGAACTATATAAATGTAGAAAATCTGAGAAGTTAATTTTATATGGAAAGCCTTCGTGCAAAATTAATAGCATCTTGTTAATTTCATATATGTTTTGTGAAAGTAATTGCTGCTGAATCTAGAATTAATGCATTATCTGAGATTTGAGACAAAATTTGTCAAATTAGAAGATAGTGAAATAGATAAATAGGAAATGAAACATGAAATTTATATATTTAATATTGAAATAAATATCTCAGTAAAGTGGCTGTATGTAAAGTATAATGATGCAATTTTTATAATTTTTTACTAAAATGCTAAAATTATGTGCTATGAAAATTTTATTTTCATTAATATTTATAATTTTTTCCTCGCAAATTTTTATCCAAGGTGTATATGTTTTAGCTATTTTAGATTTTTCTGTTTTAATGTTAAAAATATCTTCTTTATCAGCATTACATTAAAATCCATCTCATAATCATTTGAAAATGAAGGAAATTTCATTCTTTTCAATAGTTTAAGAATATTTTCATAAAACATAATTATAGAAAAAATGAACTGATACATTTTTAGTTATATATATGTAAAGAAAATTTTTTAGAAGGATCCTTTTTTCCATACCAGAAACATTTCATGAGCTGTAATATGTAATATTAGTTGGCCTAATATGTAAAAGGAATGTTTAATCAAATTATTTTTATTATGCTTTTATAAATATCACTATAATTTTAAGAGTTATTGAATTTAAAAGTGAAAGAAAAAGCTACAGTTATTTCAAGACTCTTTAATAAAACAATTCTTTATTCTTGTATTCTCGTATGAAAATTTTCTGTATATTTAACATAAAATTGTATGCATGTAAATAAATTTTTTAATTTATTATTATCATTCTGTTAGCTTCAATTTTTATTCTCAATAAATTTGATACATATATTTAATATTCAGCTAAGTTTTATTAACCATGACTGATAAGCATTTTAAATTTCATCCTGTCAAAAAATTTAAAATTCCCTTTTTTTCTTGTAATTTTTTCATACACCTCTCATTTTCTGTTTAATTGTAAATATTGCATACTTATAATTTTATAAAGCATAACTTCCCTTCCCTGAAAAAGCACACAGATTCATTCTTAATTTAAAATTCAATTACAAGTCCAATGTGAAAATGAATTAGCCAATGGAACAAAATAACACATATGTCTTTAATAGAGGACAACATATCAATAATTCCCTTAGTTTCATTTATCCCATTAGCTTCTTTACCTATTAAAAAAATTCTGATCCCCCCCCCTCATGGGGGAATCAGAATTTCAGTGTAAAGTCATAAATACCACTAATGCACACATTTACATATACACATTTGCTTCCCCTTAATGTAGTATAAGTAATGTTACTCTTCATTGATAATGTTTATTTTTATTTTAACTTTGCCTGTATTATTCACTTTTAAAATAAGCACAAATTTCTATTCTGTTTTTTTTGGTTATCAGTATTTATTTCAAGATTCACACATCTGCAATTTCCAGCTTCATTTATTAAAATATATTATGCATTTTACTCATTATTTACATTATTTATACATTATTACTGGTATTAATCTTATTATCTTTTATGGATTGTAAACTGACTCTGGATGAAGGAAATTTCCATTATTAAATATTTTCTATTAGCTTAAATAAAACATAAATACACACACGCAGAATGTTTGAAATAGGTTTTATGCTTAGTATATTGACTGATCTAAGGATGGAAAAGTTGTACAAATAGAACATGTAATTTTGTAAAATCATTACATTTGTCAAAGTAAGAAATAGGGCAAATATGCAAAATTCTATCTGCAGTGCCAGACTTAATTATCGATGCTCAGGATGGAAATCTCACTTGGTCACCCTATATCGGAATGATCACCATACAAAATGTCAACACAAATATAAAATTAACATTTATTTAATTAAAATTAAATATTTGAATTGATTTGAAAAGCAAGTCTTAAGATTAAGGGGAAAAATTACATTTAGAAAACAAATTTATATTTAAAAATGCTTATTAATCAGCTATTTTTGATGATTTAAAAAATATTGTTAACTTTTCTAAAAATAAAAAAGCTATAACTGTTTTTAGTGAATTTTGACTTACGAAAGTTTGTTTATAGTTTTGTCAAAAATTCATTAACATGTTTAGCTACCGTATTTTCAATGCAAAAAGACTGACAAGCCATTAAATCTTGGCACCTTGTTGATCGAAGATAGCTTTTAATCCACTTCAACTTCAAAAAGCTTCTCTAGCATGGAGCAACTGAAACATACACCGTCCCAAAGATATCTTTAGTGCCAATTATGAGTTAGGGATTGATTCTCCCAATACAGACCACATTTTAGCTTCATTTTTTTAATATATACTTAAAAACTTAAGGTTCTTCGGAGGCCTCTCCTCTTAATCAGTGGCCTGGCTGTTCTGCTCCCCCTGGTACTCTTCTGCCTAGCCAGAATATGAAAAAGGTGCAATACCCTAGCCAAATTTTCCATTGCGGTACTAAAGGAGAAAATTCCTTGCATTCTCCCCCACTTCTAGGGCGACAAGGAAGGTAAGGATCAGTTGCTAAATCCTGATAGTGACATATTATAGGCTACCACATTTTACTTCAGGCGCCAATAGGCAGGGAAAAATATACGTTGCCCTCGCCGAGTTTCGAACTCCTAACCTCATGATTTCTAGGCGGGCGGGCTTCCGATTATACCATTAAAGACCGCTTTAAAGAGGAAAAAATACCTATAACTCTTCCTATTAATAATGATTAGT